TTTCTCTCTTCCGCACTCGACCGGGATGGGCGAATCGCACGGGAGAGCCAAATGGCTCTCCCACGCGTGGAAGGGATTTGATCTCAAACTTTGATTTGAAAATCAAATTCAGCCCAAATTGGGAAATTAGGGCTGAAATTGAGTCCAAATTGGACTCGACCCGAACCGATTTGGGTCGGTTTGGGTCCGATCAAGCTAATTTTGTGAAATTGAACTTGAATTGATGCCGAATTGCATCAAATTGGGCTCGACGACGCTCGACGGGATTCGATTTATTTTGATTTGATTCTAATTAAATTAAATTTGATTTAATTTAATTACATTGAGGCTTAATTCGGATTAATTTCACCTCGACGATGATCGATTGAGTTGATCGAGCGCGATCGAGCCTTGTCGGGCTCAATCGGGGTCGAGTCGATGCGAAAATATTCGTCAACAATAATAACTTCATAAATTCTAATTAGCATTTTTAATTATCTCTTCGAAGTTATATTGAATATCAAAATTAAATATGTAAAAGACTTGGCTATAAATTCATAACAATATTCAATGGAGCCCAAGTTACCCTGGCATTATCTCCATTGAATTACATTGAGGTCCCTTTTGTCTCATTGGGGTCCCTTTTGCCCCACCTGCTATGCAGGTCTCTTTTTCTTTTGGGGTCCCTTTTGCCCCCTCTACAAAGCAGGCTTAGTAATTTGGGTCTCTTTTGCCCACCTGATATTGTAGACATCATTTCATCATAATATAGCCAATATTTACTTTTAATTTGATATTCCTTACTTCATGGTTTCATAATATATATCTGATTTTAATGATTATAAGCTTCAAGTTTGCTTATACTTATAAATTTGGTGTACCATGAATTTAGTAGCCACAAGTTAAAATAGAAACTTCTTTGTATAAAATTATCAGTTAAGAAAAGACTGAGATAAGTACATTTAAGCATCTATCAAATATCTCTTATTCTCATGGATAGAAAGTTTTGAATACTTTAATATACCTTCATGATGACTAAACAATTTCTCATATTGCATCTCTTCATAATAGACTTTCAAAACATAAATGATAAATTAACCATTCATGATGATTACAACTATAATTAATTACATAATTTACCTCTTTGATTGTTGATCTCTTTAAAACTTACACCACGAAGCCTCCTCCTTTGATACACAAACCCAAAGCATTCTTTCTGCATAAATCTATAAATAATCCTACCATACAATTAGGTTATCATTGTTAGACATGTTACTAAGTTTAGGTGACATAAAAGATAAAGAATAATAGTATAATTCTCACCTTTATCTCCCTTTCTTTCTATTATTCCTTTCTTCTCTTCTTCCTTTCTCTCTTCTCCAAGCTACCACCTTAATTCATAATTCTTTCAACTAGTTTGTATAATCACATCACTACTATTCATTACAATTCGTAAAAAAAATCTAATCATTTCACATACCTGCAATTTGTTTCTCTTCTTTCACAATTTCTACAAAACTCCCTTTCATTAAAATATACAAAATTTCATTTAACCAAAGAATCATTGTTTGCACCGGGAAATTCTGCGAATTGCTGGCCCTTGACCGCCTCTTGCTACAGTCCAAAGAACCAAAATCCCAAACAATTCTACAGTCCCGCAAGAACTTTACTGAAATGCCTTCAGTTTCTCTACACAGCCGATGGTGGAATAGGGATTTTCAGAATTGCTTGTGAAATAACTTCGAAACTCCACTGTACCGAATTCTCTCACAATATAATTCTCAAGTCTATCCACGATTATGCAGATTAAGTCAAGGGGAAGTGGGTCCCACTTCAATCCTTATCCGATGTTATAAACAACCCTCAATTTCCAATCAGTTTCCACTAACGTGAAAGCCAACGGATGCCTTTTTGGATGCCTGAATGGAAACAAGATTATTATTTAATTTATATATATAGTTTAAGATATTTGACTATAGAATAATGAACATAACTTAAATATTAATAGTTATTTAACAGTAATTTATTATTGTAATAAGTTTTACAATATATTTAAGTAATATAACCTACCTGATTGGGTCTTACAGAGGAGCAACTAGCAGAGTGTAGAGCAGAGTTGACAAATAGAATAACTTCAGTATCCTCCCAGAATGAACGGATGGATCGTCTACATATAGAGTTGGTGGATGCACAGGCGACGATCAACCAACAGATGAGAGATCAACAAATTCTTGAAGCTGAGAATAAGAGACTCCAAAGTATGTTGTCAGAGAAGGAAGCCCAACAGTTCTCGTCTGCAGTCATAGAAGAGTTCAAGAAATCTTATGCTTTCAAGATAATTATTGAGGATCACGTTCAGGATGCTCGCAATCATATTTATGATATGGAGGTGAAGGTTTTAGAGGTAGAGTGTATGGAGGATGGCTTCATTAAAGGTTTTATGAAGGGCGTGCGTGCAGTGCAGTGTAAGACTGGAGAAGAGACCGAGGGGTTGACTCCTAGCCAGGCTTCTGGTGATCCTTCTTCAGACTCTGGTGGTGAAGAATTTGAGAGTGAGTTGCACAAGGCTTTTTCCTTGGAGGAGGACGAGGATGAGATTGAGATCCTTTAGGATGGCTTTGATGTTGTTTTGTACCACTTCGTTTTCTTTCTAGTGATTATATGTGTGTTAGATGTTAATGCTTTCATATGATGTACTCGATGTTCAGTGATATATATAAAGAAATTATTGATATCTCTCTTTTTTCACATGCATATGAAATTGACTCAATTTTATTTCAATGAGAAATATTTTGGTGACTTTTTTTACGAGAGATATCCTCCTTGGATATCCTGACCTATTCGAGGTTGTTAATCAAAGCATTTGCTTGATGATTTTAACCTGTATGGAAGAGGTCGGATCAAATCCCCTGGGGATTGATCGTCCAGTGATTGAGATACAATACAGATTGTGTATTTCTCGAATCAAGGATAAAGATTTTGAGAAGTTTTTTAATTTTATATAAGAGAAGATAATATCACAACAATGTGAGCATCACATTACTGTATTATATAAGACAGTACAACAATTCCCTGGTATAACTTAGGAATATTGAGGAAGAGTTCTCCCACAATCAACACACAAAGGGGGTACTAAAAGTAAGCATAAAACTTAAAAGATACAAATCATTACTTGGGGGGACATAACACAAGACAAATACTACTAGTAACATAACACGAGATAAATAGTATTATCAACTCCTACTGATAGTACTTGCGAAGGTTGCCGACATTCCAAGTTCGGGGGAGCATTTTTCCACTAGCATCCTTCAGATTGAAGGTTCCAGGTATGACCAAAGCCGCCACCAAATAAGGATCCTCCTAGAGGGGGGAGAGCTTATTACGCTGAGGGCCTTTTCCAGCGGCTTCGATGCTTCGCAAAACTAAGTCCCTAATGGAGATAGGTCGAGGTCTCACCCTCCGATTGTAGTGACGAGCAATCCTTTGGTGGTATGCAGTGGTCCTAAGTGAGGCTTCATCTCTTACTTATGGGAGGAGATCCAATCTTGTTCTAAGCCTCTCCTCGTTTTTATTGAAGTCAAAAGTTTGAACTCTATTACCCGGGACTCCGATATCAACCGGTATGACTGCTTTTGTACCAAAATAGAGGTTATACGGGATTTCTCCTATAGGAGTTCTGGCAGTGGTCTGATAAGCCCAAAGGATATTTGGTAGTTCTTCAGCCCATTACCCCCCAGCCTTCCCTAGGTGTGTCTTCAGCCCTTTCAAAATTGTTCGATTTGTAACCTCTGTTTGCTCATTTGCTTGAGGATGGGCGACATCTGTGCGAATGAGCTGAATATGAAAATCCTTACAAAAAGATGTAAAGATCTTTCCAGTGAAATGTGTCCTGTTATCAGTGATGACTCTTGCAGGAATGCCAAAGCGACAGACTATATTCTTCCACAAGAACTACTTGGCATTTGCTTTAGTAATCTTTGCCAAAAGTTTTGCCTTCACACATTTGGTGAAGTAATCTATAGCCATGATAATAGGGAAGGGTCCCATTTTCATTGTTCAGTGGCTATAGGGAAGGGTCCCATTACATCAATTCCCCATTAAGCGAAAGTCCAGGGACTCTGCAGTGTATGGGTGAGATTGGAATGCAATTGACAGTTTTTACACTTTTGAGTAAACTCAAGTGCGTCATGTTTCATTGTAGACCAATAGAATCCCTATCTCATGAACTTATAAGCCAACGCTCTTCCTCCCAAATGTTCTCCACACACTCCTGAATGAACTTCTCGGAGTGCATAATCAGCTTCTGAAGGTGGGAGACACTTGAGATACGGTCCAGTGAAGGCGCATTTATACAACTCGTCACCAAGAATAATGAAATTCGTTGCTTGTCTCTGAAGTCGTGTTGCAGCCATGGGTTCTTCAGGTAGTACCACATCCTGTAGAAAAGACAAGATGAGATTGATTCAAGACGCCTCTTTTGATTCATCGATTGATTGTATGACCCACGGACCTTGAATAATTAGAAAGTGGATCTCCTCGATACACTTTCTTTTATAAACATCTCCCATTATTGATGTAGAAAGTTTGGAAAGAGCATCTGCTCTCTTATTTTGCTTTCGGAGAATATGAATGATCTAATGCTTCTTTATACAAGTTAAGAGTAACTTCACGAAGCTGTAATACATGGCCAATTGAGGATTATGGATATCAAACTCCCCCTCCACCAAAGAGGCGACTAATTATGAATCAGTGTGGATTACTAAATTCTGTACCTCACAGTCAATTGTTAGTCTTAATCCAGCAATAAGGGCCTCGTATTCTGTTGTATTGTTTGTTGCCGGGAACTTGAGTCGGAGCACATACTCAAAGATAATTTTCTGTAGAGAGATCAACAAAATTCTATACCCAGCACCGAAACTTCCAAAAACTCCATCGACATACAACATCCAGCATGGAGGAGAAGGCAAAGCACTTGGTTGAACATCAGATACTGGAACGGTGCATTCAACTATGAAATCTGTAAGTGCTTGAGATTTAATATCAGGCCTAGGCAGGTAGTGGATATCGAACTCTCCCAGCTCTATAGACCACTTAACGAGCCTACCAGCTTATGGCTTTTGCAGGATATTTTTCAGTGGCAGATTTGTGTGAACCCAATTTGTATGGGCTTGAAAGTAAGGGCATAGTTTTCTGGCGGAATAAACTAACGTCAATGTTGTCTTATCTGCTCGAGGATAACGTCCTTCTGTTTCAGATAAAATTTTGCTGACATAATATATAGGACGTTGTACAGCATTTTTTTCTTAAACCAAGATCGAACTAATTGTTTGGATATAAACAACCATATAAAAATACAATTTCTCTCCCGGTATTGGTTTAGAAAGTAGTGGCGGGGATGCCAAATAATTTCGTAATTGTTCAATGGCTTCTTGGCATTCATCGGTACATTGGAATCCAGAGTTACGAGCGCCTCTAAGTACCTTGAAGAAGGACAAATATTTGTCTCCTGAACATGCTAGAAAACAAGATAGTGCTGCAATTCTCCTATTTAGCCTTTGGACCTCCTTGATATTCTTCGGTGGCACCATTTCTCTTAGCGCATTGATCTTCTCGGGATTAGCTTCAATTCCTCTATGGGTTACCATAAACCCCAAAAACTTTCCAGAAGCGGCTCCAAAAGCACATTTAATGGGGTTGAGTCGCATATCATAACATCTCAATGAGTGGAAGCATTGTTCCAAGTCAGAGATATGTTAAGATTTTTCAAGACTTTTCACCAACATATCATCCACGTACACATCCATAGTATGTCTAATAAGGTTTTTGAAAACCTTATTCAAGAGACGCTGATAAGTTTCTTCAGCATTTTTTAGCCTGAAGGGCATCACCCGATAGTAGTATTACCCTTTGATGTTTGAAAAGCTGTTGCTACTTCATCAGCAGGATTCATCTTTATTTGATTATAGCCAGAGTATGCATTCATAAAGCTCAACATCTGATGTCAAGAGGTGGTATCGACTAATTGAGTCAATACGAGGAAGCGGAAAGCTATCTTTCAGGCAGGCTTTGTTGAGATGTGTATAATTTATACACATTCTCCAAGCTGCACTCCCTTTCCGAACCATGACAACATTTGACAACCAAATAGGATAGTGCACCTCTCGTATAAATCTAACTTCCAAAAGCTTATCCACTTCTTGCTCGATTGCTTGCTAACAATCTGGTGTAAAAATTTTATTTCTTCTAGATAATTGGCTTGCACGTCGGATTGACTTTGAGAGAGTGTACGATCACTTCGGGGTTGATTCCGATCATATCTGTTGGACTCTATGCAAAAACATCCTGATTTTCACGCATAAAATCTGTGAATTTTTTCTTCTCGTTGTCTGAGAGAAGTGATCTAATATGCACCGTCTTTGAAGGATGTTCTTCAGATATAGATACAGTAGTAAGGTCTTCTACAGGGGAAGCTCTCAAAGGGATATCTTCGCTCCGGAGATCAAAGTCCTCGATGCTCAGGATAACTATTGGACGTGGCTTAACCTGCCTAAGATAATAGGTTTATGCTATTTGTTGATCTCCGCATACTATAATGACTCCTGTCGGGGTAAGGAACTTCAGCTTGAGGTGAGGGATAGAAACGATGATCCCAAAAATTGACTGTAGCGGCCTCCCAAAGATAATGTTGTAAGTCATTTCTGACTTTACAACAATGAGCTGAATGGAGTGTGTAGTCTGTCAAGAAAATTCTCTAAGTACAACTGGGAGAATGATTATCCCTTTTGCTCGTACAGATCGA